TGTTGAACTACTTTGCATTCCTGGGATAAATCTCACTTGGTCATGGTGTATAATCCTTTTAATATACTGTTGGATTCAGTTTGCTAGTATTGTGTTTAGGATTTTGCGTCTATATTCATACGGGATATTGGTCTGTAGTGGGTTTTTTTAAACATTTTATTGTTGTTTAGGTGAAAGTTTACAGAGCAAATTAGTTTCCCATTCAACAGTTTATACACAGCCTGTTTTGTGACATTGGTTGTAAGCCCCAGAATGTGTCAGCACTCTCCCCCCTTTCTCCTTAGGTTCCCCATGTCCTTTTGCCCAGTTTTCCTGATCCTACCGTCCTTCTGAACTTTGCTTTTGGGCAAATGCTCCCCTTTAGGTCTTGTATATTTGATTGTCCTTGAGATGTACATTCCTCACTGATGTTACTGTTCATTTTATAGGCCTTTCTATTGTATGGATGTAATGTGATCTCCGGGAGTGATTTCAGCTCCAAGTTGGAAGAGTGTCTAAGGGCCATAGTCTCAGGGATTCCACTAGTCTCTATCAGACCAGTAAGTCTGGTCTTATGAGTTTGAATATTGTTCTACATTTCTCTCCCACTCTGTCCAGGACCTTCTTTTGTGATCCTGGTCAGAACAGTCGATAGTGGTAGCTGGGCACCATCTGGTTCTTCTGGTCTCAGGCTAGTGGAGGCCATGGTTCATGTGGTCCATTTGTCCTTTGGACTAAATCTTTCCTTGAGGTCCTTGAGTCTTTGATTTTCTTCACTCTTCTTTGCACTGGATGGAAAGAGACCAGTTGTTGTACCTTAGATGGCTGCTCACAAGCTTTTAAGACCCCAGTCACTACTCATCAAGGTAGGATGTAGAACATTGTCTGTATGGATTATGATATGCCAGTTGACCTAGATGTCCCCCGAGGCTATGGTCTCTAAGCCCTCAAGCCCAGTATCTCCATCCCGGGAAGTGTATGGTTGTGGCTAAGAAGTTTTCGTGACTGTGTCCCCCTGTGCGCATTATTGCCTACATGGGTATATTTGCAGCATGTACACATATATATGTATGTGAGTGTACTTCCACACACTCTCCCACCCCTGTTCGGCTTACACATCTACCTATGTATCCACATTTCTACCTATGTATCCACTCGTACGTTATTGTTTTTTATTAGTTGCTTTAGGATTATATCTGTCTTAGTATTTACCATTGTTGCCTTTTACCCTTGCATACCTTTCAGTGTCTTTCTTCACCTTGATTCTGTTGTGCTGACTTCTCCCATATTATGTATTATCTCTTCCTTCACCAAAGTTAGTATGTATCTACTATGTAGTTAGTGGTTCCCCACCCCCATCCCTGGTAATGATCAAAGAATGTTTCTGTCTGTGTGAAAACCTTTTCTTGACTTTTTATAATAGTAGTATCTTATACAATATTTGTCCTTTTGTGATTAGCTTGTTTCACTCAGCCTAATGTCCTCCAGGTTCATCCATGTTGTGAGATGTTTCATGGATTCGTTGTTACTCTTTAATGTTGCGTGGTATTCCACTGTGTGTGTATACCACAGTTTGTTTATCCATTCATCCATTGATGGACCCTTAGGCTGTTTCCATCTTTTTGCTATTGTAAATAATGCTACAATGAACATGGGTGTGCATATGTCTGTTCATGTCACGGCTCTTACTTCTCTAGGATATATATCTGGGAGTGGGATTGCTGGATCATATGGTATTTCTATTTCTAGCTTTTTGAGGAACTGCCATATCGTTTTCCATAGTGTTTGTACCATTTTACATTCCCACCAGCAGTTTGTTGTTTTCTGTTTTTATGATCAGTGCCATTATTACCCGTGTGAGATGGTATCTCATTGTAGTTTTGATTTGCATCTCTCCAGTGGCTAATGATCGCGAGCATCTCTTCATGTGTTTGTTGACTGCCTGGATGTCTTCTTTGGTGAACTGTCCTTTGTCCATTTTTTAATTGGATTTTTTGTCTTTTTGTTGTTAAGTTATTGGAGTTTTCTATAAATTTTAGAGAGGTCTATAGTTTTCTTGTGGTGTCTTTGGCTTCAGTACCAGGGCAATGGCAATGCTAGCCTCATAGAATGAATTAGGAAGTGTTCCCTCCTATTCTATTTTGGAAGAGTTTGAGAAGGGTTGGTGTTAATTCTTCTTTAAATGTTTGGTAGATTTTACCAATGTAGCCATTTGGTCCTAGACTTTTCTTTTTTGTTTTGTTTTGTTTTTTTAATTACTGATTCAATCTCTTTACTTATTACAGGTCTGTTCAGATTTTTTATTTCTTCATGAGTTCATTTTGTTAATTTGTGTCTTTCTGTGACTCTGTCTGTTATGTCTAGTTTACCTAATTTGTGGGTGTGCAGTATTTCATAGTGTTCTCGTCAGTCCTCAGCTCAATTCTTGAAGGGGCCCCTCCGCAGATCTCTGGGTTGTCTCTGTGGTGCTCTTTCTTCTCTGGTCCTTTCAGCCTGTGAACTCCAGCTGAACTCTACCTGTCTTGGTCTCCCCAGACTCTCAACCCATCTCCCCAGCTCAGGAGTCTGCTGGTCTCTGCCTGGGTCCCCCTCCCTGCGCTGTGGACTGGAGACTTTCCGGACCGGAAGCTGGGGCAATTGTAAGACTCATCTCATTTATCCCATCTCTCAGAGATCACTGTCCTTTGCCTGATGTCCAGTATCTTAAAACCTGTTGTTTCATCTATTTTGTTCATATTTTGGTTGCCTTAGTTGGGAGGGTAACTCTGGACACTGTTGCTTGACCAGGTGTGGAAGTTTCATTCATCTTTTTATTGTTGATTTATAGGAGCTTTTTATATTCTGCACACAAGCCCTTTGTTAGATAAATGTGTTACCTATTCATTTTCTTGGAGCCCTGCTGGCATAGTGGTTGAGAGCTTGGCTGCTAACCAAAAGGTCAACAGTTCAAATCCACCAGCCACTCCTTGGAAACCCTATGGGGCCGTTCTACTCTGTCCTGTAAGATCGCTGTGAGTCAGAATCGACTCAACAGCAACGGGTTTGGTTTGTTTGTTTTATTCATTTTCTTAATCTTTTGGTAAGCAGAATATTTTGATGAAGTCCAGTTAAACTATTTTTTCTTTTATGGTGTGTTGTTTTTATGTCTTATCCAAAAAAAAAAAAAAAAATCCTTTTTGTTTTTCAGTTTGTTATTTGCTAATTTTATTTTATTTTTTTAAATTTTATTGTGTTTTGAACTAAAACAATTTCCAAGGCCAACTCTTCAGACAAAGATTGGACTGGACAGCGGGACATAAAATGATACTCGTGAAGACTGTGCTTCTTAGCTCAAGTAGATACATGAGACTAAATGGGCAGCTTCTGTCGGGAGGTGAGATGAGAAGGCAGAGAGAGTTAGGAGCTGGTTGAGTGGACACGGGAAATTAGGGGTGGAAAGGAGGAGTGTGCTGTCACAGTACAGGGAGAGCAATTAGGGTCACATAACAATGTATGTATAAATTTTTGTATAGGAGACTAACTTGAAATGTAAACTTTCACATAAGCTACAACAATAAACAAAAAAATAGAAAATAAAATAAAATTTTATTGTGTTTTAGGTGAAAGCTTACAGTGCAAATTAGTTTTTCATTCAACGAAAAAAATCTTTGCCTACCTGTCTTAGTTTTCCTGGTGCTTCTATAACAGAAATACCACAAGTGAGTGGCTTTAATGAACAGAAATTTATTTTGTCATAGTTTAGGAAGCTAAAAGCATTGGTCTAGAGGAAGGCTCTCTCTCTCTGCTGTACGGCAAAATCCTTGTCTCTGCTTCTCTAGCCCCTGAGTTCCTTGGTTCCTTGGCAATCTCCACGTGGCATCTATCTTTCCCCCATTTGTGCTTGTTGTCCCCACATCTATAAGGCTCTTTATATCACTCAGATGTGATTAGGTTTAGGACACACCCTACACTAATATCGCCTTAGTAGCATAACAAAGAAAATCCTATTCCCAAATGGGATTATATCCACAGGTATAGGGGTTAGGATTCCATCACATATTTTTGAGGGGGACACAATTCAATCCATAACACTACCCTAAGGTCATACATTTTCTTCTGTTTATTTCTAAAATTCTTCTGGTTCTGGGTTTTATGTTTAGGTTTTGATTTATCTCAAATTAATTTTTATTGTGAGGTAGGGGTTGAGATTCGTTTTTTCCTCCTGTCTCTCCAGGTGTTTCAGCATCATTTATTGAATGGGTATTCTTTGCCTATTGCATTACCATGACAGCTTGTTTAAAAACCAGTTGAACATATACGTGTGGCTCTATTCTGAACTCTTCTGTTCCATTGATCTGTGTGTCCATCTTGATGCCAGCACCACACTCACTGTCTTGATTATTGTAGCATTTAAGTAAGTCTTCAAATCAAGTAGTGTAAGTTCTCTAACTTTATTCTTCTTTTTCAGGATTGTTTCAGCTATTCTAAGTCATTTCCCTATGAACATAAATCATAGAATCAATTTATTTGATTTCTGTAATCCAAAAAGCCTGGGATTTTGCTTGACATTGTGTTGAATCCATCAGTCATTTGGGGAGAAATGTTGTCTTAACAATATTGAGTCTTCCAGTCAATGAACAAGCATATCTCTCCTTTTAATTCTGCCTGCTTGACCTCTCTCAGCCATGCATTACAGTTTCTAGTCTTTAGGCGTTATACATTTTTTGCTAAACTTTTTTTTATCATCCTAAGTATTTTTTTTTAACGCTGTGGGCTCCAGGGAGTCCCTGGGTGGTGCAGATAGTTAAGTGCTGGACTACTAGCCAGAAGGTTGGCAGTTTGAGCCTGCTCAGAGCATGGGCTCCAGGGGCTGCCTTGCCCTATTTGCTTGCCCTGTCCAATGGCCAGGGATGCTGGGCTGGGCTGCATCTCCTCCCGGAGTATGCCTCTCCCCAGGTGACGGGGACAGGGTGGGGGACCAGACTGAGGATGGTGCCACCTGTGGTGAGCATTGCTGGTAGTGATGCTGCTGTCCACCACAGGGCTCGACATGGAGGAAGGGAAGGAAGGCGGGACATGGCTCGGCATCAGCACACGGGGCAAGCTGGCAGCGCTCACCAACTACCTGCAGCCACGGCTGGACAGGGACGCCCGGGGCAGAGGTATGGCTGGGGCAGCACAGAGGGCTGGGCAGCCTACAGGCAGGGCTTCTAGGGCACTGTGACCTGCCCAAGATGACATGTTCATGGTACAGCACATGGCAGAGACAGAAGAGTGAGACACAAGTGACGCTCATTCCCCCATCCTGGCAGCCCAGTGACATCATTGCAGAGGCCATCCTCAGCCCTTACCTGCCCGGACACGATCGCTCCTCTCAGGGGACATGTTCCATGTTGTGTCCCAGCCAAGCTGTTCCTCCTGACCGCTGTGTTTGCCCCATTGGGTCACCAGCCTGGCTGTGGGGTGTTCCTAATGTTTGCAGAACAGATGTCTCTGAGAGGACAGCTCTGTGGACATATGTTTTCCCTACAGACAACTTTTTTCCTCAGGCTGGGTTTCCAATGTGGATACAATGGGGGAAAATCAAAACAGACCACCAGAAACAGAATTCTCGGGGCCAGCCTCCCTGCTGCTGGGTGCTGAGGTGTGGCCCAGCCCTGGTGGTGGTCAGTCTGGCTCCAGGGCTCTGGTCAGGCCCGACTTCTCCCTTACGGCCCCCATCAGTCTTCCTGGGGAGAGGGGCTCAGCTGCAGGAGGTCCCTGCAGCCTCAGCCATGGGCACCTTGCTCTCTGCACACAGGTGGACTGGTCACCCACTTCCTGACCACAGACATAGACAGCTTGTCCTACCTGAAGAAGGTCTCCATGGAGGGGCACCTGTACAACGGCTTTAACCTGATAGCAGCGGATTTAAGGTGGGTCTCCCTGGGGGGGTGGGCCCCCAAGAGCATCCGCTAGTACCCTGCTGCAGGCTCAGAGGGTAGAGGGATCCCATCCTGCTGGTCGGCATGGGGTACACTGCAGCATCTGTGGAGCCTCTCCTAGGCCTTGCTGCTGGGGCTGTGTGCCTCATGCTGATGGGCTTGATGCATATTCCAATTCTCTTTCCTGTGCCTGTGTCAGTACCTCTGGCTCAAGGCCTGGAGAGCACTGTGTGACTGTGTCTGGTGGACATTTCCTAGGATAGGAACATGCTATCACCCACCCACCCTCTGTCTTACGGTCCCCTCCGTGGGTCCGTGAGGAGCTGGTCAAGCTGTTTATGGTGGTATGTGAGTGGGTGCTGCCTGTTGAGGTTTGCAAAGTCCTGCACCCTCTGCTGCAGGCAGAGCCAGGGACATGTGGCCAACCAGATTAGGGGGTACAGCGCTGGCTTTGGGAGGCCCCACCGTGGTCAGGTGTGGTTCTGGGATGAGCAGGTGGGTTATGGTGCCCACCTAGAGTGCTTACCACTTGCCAGGGCTCTTGGAATCTGGAGCAGGTAAAGGCTTAGAGGACGTGAGGGTGGCCAAGGACCCAGAGGGTCCAAGGGCCAGGCCAGGCAAGTGGGTTGGGAGGGCAATGGTGGCTGTAAAGCATAGGAGCCCTCTCTGATGAAATGACCCCACTACATTACCTAGGTGATGGAGTGGGCCTAGCTGGGAGGGAGGATGTACATGCTGTAGGGAGGGGAGCAGACACAGAGTCACTCGGCCCTTTTCATGACCTTTAGGTGCCCGGGGATGGAATGCCTTGGCCATGGTGGCTCTGGTGAGCTCATAGGGTCAGGGCCCCCCTTCTCCTGCAAACCTTGATGCCCAGCTTAGCCACCAGCTCCTGGGACACCTACCATACTGCCCACCAGTATGTCTTCCATGACTCTGGCCAGGCGTCTGTCTTCTAGAGACAAGATCTGTGTCCCCACCTGCTGGTCAGCCTCTCAAGGGCTGGTCTGTAGGGCTTCAGTGAGGAATGGGTGTTAGGGTGATGAGGTTGCCCAGAGGCAGCGTGGCGGCAAGGCTTGAGGGCCAGGTCAAGCAGTGGGGACTTGGGGAGGCTGAGACCAGGACAGGGCACCCCCTAGTGCCTTTCTGGGGCTGGTGTTGTCAAGCGGCAGAGACCTATCACTACAGGACTCGGACACCCAGCTGCATGGCAGTGAGGGGGCTTTTCCCACCTGAAGTGGGGGCCAGCTTTCGACAACAGCAAAGAGGAGGAGGGTCCTGTCTACCCTGACTGGGAGGAGAAGGATCCCAGGGAGAGCGCTGGAGGCCTGGGCTGGGCGTGGACATGAGACCCAGGCCTATGTCGGACACACACTTGTATGTGAAGCACACAGGGAAGCGCAATCCCAGCCAGTGGTTCTGGTGGTTCCATGGACCACCTCGCCAGGCACACACAGAACCCTTCATGGGCCTGGGCTCAGCATGTATTCGCAGCAGCCCTGTGTGTGCCCGGGCGGTGGAGTCTTTGAGAGGCAGGGCACCCACCCAGGCTGGTGCAGGCTGGCTTCCTGGTGCCCCTGGCGAACAACATTGTGGCCCACCAGTAGGGCTCCAGGCTGGCAGAGCAGCCATGCTCCTGGCTACTGTGCCGCTGGATGCCAGCTTGTGTCTCCACCCACAGTGCGATTAGGGGGTGCCAGGCTGGTGGGGCCAAGAGAGAAGCATGTCTCTCGGTGGTGCTCTGGAACCTGGAGAAGGCTTGGCTTTGGATGTGGGCCCAGACCAGCCCGGGCATTGACTGCAGAGTGACAGCTCTCTATGCAGTTGCCTCAAATCCCAGGCCTGTTGCTGAGCACCATTTACTGAGTGCTGCTCACCTCGCATCCAGGACACAGTGCCCCTGGGAGGGCGAAGTCAGGTGGGAGTCTCAGCGAGGGGGCGTGACATGGGGCCCATGGACAGCTGTCGGTTAGATGCTGGTCAGTGGGGCAGCATCCTGTGTGCTAGACTGTGGCTGTTTGTTTGTCTGCCGGTGCCAGCATGGCCCTCTGAGTCTGGACGAGTGTGGTCAGAACTTCTGGCCTCTGCAGGGCTTCCTGGCTATGGGGCAGGCGGTGCTGATCGTGGAGCGTGTGCCTGGCTGCTGGGCCCCCGCTGCCCTGTCTGCAGGTTTGGTTGGTGCAGCAGCTCCTCTGGGGAGGGGAGCACTGCTGTGTTACAGTCGAGGTTTGCACATAGAGCCTGAGCTGGTGGGGACACAGGCAGTGCTGCAGCAGGCATGGTGGTCATGAGGAACAACCCCAGCCCAGCAGGCACCCGTCTGCTAACCCTGGGCCCTGCATGCCTCCTGGCGTGGCTGTGCAGAGTTATCTTTCTTTCCAGCTGTCAGGAGCATCCAGGGACAGCCCTTACCCAGGAGGGAGAGGCTGGGTGTGCTATACTTCCCTGTGAAGCACTTGTTAAAAGTCTGGCTTCTAGTTTTTGCACTGGGAGCTGCAGGGGGTTTGTCTATTTGCCCTCCAGTGAAATGAGCTCCCCTGCTTGGAGCCTGCAGTCTGGAGCCCTGGGGACCCCAGAATGGGTTCAGGGAGCGCATATTTAAATTTACCCCTGTGGACTCCACGGCAACTGGTTTGGTTTGATTTGGGGACTTTTTAATGATGACAGTATCCCATGGAGGGGTCTCCTGTGTTCTTTCTCCTTTGCCCTGGGCTGGAGGGTGTTTGCAGCATGAGGCTGCACAAGGGTAGAGACCAGCCACACAGACAAAGGCCCCGGAAAGGTGAGGTCCTGTGGCTGCCTTAGCTGACTGGCCCAGCCCTGGTCTGCCCTGTGCAAAGGCCAGCCCCCTACATGGCCATGAGGTATGGGACATAGCACTGACCTTCCTGACAGATATGTCCACCACTCACCCGCTCCAGAGCCCAGCACGCTGAGGCATCAGTGATGCAGGGGCTCCACCAGGACAGGCAGAGCGGAGGTGTGGGCAGGTGCCCCAGGTGAGATGCGCCCAGGTGCCACAGAGGCAGGCCCCAGGCTTCTCCAGGCCTGCGCACTATGAGGTTCACTGAGTGCTGTGTGCTCCACTCCTCTTCTGCGCCTCCTGGACAGATGGGCTTCACAGCCCATTTTTGGACACAGAGGACAGAGGCAAGGCCAGGTGGGGTCTCTGCGCGCAGGCACTTGCGGCTGGGATCTTCCCCTGCCATGAGGCAGAGCCCTGCACTCTCTTTGCTCCAAAAAGTTCTGTGCCCCCTGCCTCTCCCTCCCCAAGGACTGCCCTGAAGGAGTCCCGCCCAGCCAGACTTCCATAGAGTGACTGTGAACATGCAGGTGCCCCCTCTGAGTGGATGCATGCAGAGAGGCCAGCACTACTACAGGTCAGGCCTGGAGTTGGGGGGCTCCAGGCCCCTTGGAGCTTGTGCAGCTCTCCCTGTGCCTGGAGTCCAGCCAGCCTCCTCTGGTGCAGGGCAGGCCGCTGCCTGGTCAAGGGCCTCCCTCCCTGGACACAGCCTGCAAGAGCAGGTGGTGGCCAGGCAGCAGCAGGTGCCGTGGGGTCAGTGAGCAGCCCCAGGTGGTAGTGCTGCTGAGGAAATCCAGGCCGAGAAGGGAGAGCGCCTTACTCCAGGTCACAGCCAGACCCTAGGTCAGCCCTCCCGTAGTTGGCATGTAGTGGCACCAACAACACAGGTCTATGCGTGTTCAAGCTTTCTACTTGCAAGCAAAATCTCTTAAATTATTAGCCACATGCCATAAGGAAGGAACCAAGAGACAGCTGAGGGAAAAGGTGAACAGAATGTGGGCTGGGGACTCCAGGGCAGGAGCCATGCAGGTCGGGGGCTGGTAAGCAGATCAGCAGGAAGGAGGAGGCCAGGGCCAGGTGGGCAGGCATGGCTGGAGTACCCTCCTGGCACCCTGTGCCCCTTCCTTTCTCTGCGTTTCCTCACTCTGAAGGCCCAGGCCTGCATGTCCAGCAGCTGTCCCGGAAGGTGTCCCAGGCCACGGAGAGTCCTCTGCAGTCAGAGGGGAAAGTGTTCTGAGTTTTAGCAGAAAGATTTATTGTGGTGTTGAGAAACTGGAACATCTTCAGCTTTGTAGTATTTTAAATGAGTTTAAAATGCCCTCAGTGTTCGAAAGTGTGGGAAATGTTTATTCAGGAGCCTCCGGGACCTGGAAGCACCGCCCAAGGCTGTGGGTTGGAGGCCAGCGGGAGCCTCGGAGGGAGGCAGCCATGAGGGTCCGTCTTCTGTGCTCCTGAAGGGTTGGGAGGCTTGGGTGCTGCTCATTTGGAGCTGGGCCAGATGCCTGGGGCAGCTCCTCGGAGTCTGCGGGTGGTTGCTCCTACCCTGCCGAGGATAAGTGCTCTGTGGACTGCCGGTCAAGCTCCCCTACAGTTTTCAGTGATGCAGCCATCCTGGGCCCACACACTGGGGGCATTTGGTGAGGCAGGAAGGTCTTTTAGATGCTGCCACCTCCCAGGCCAGTGGTCTCCTGTGGCACTGTACGAAAGCCAGTGGACTGATGACCTGCCTGTGAGGACAAGGTGGGAGCAGGTGTGCCTGGCCTAGGGGGCTGGGCCCTGGTTAGCTCTGGCCTGGCTGTAGCTGGCCATTGTCCCTGTGTGGCCCTTGGGCGGTGGGGCTGGGCTGGGGCCTTGGAGAGCACAAAGCAGCATGGGGGCAGGACACCTGACTCCTTTCTGGGGCTGTGAACCCATCTGCCCCCTCCCCTCCCATTTGCAGCACGACCAAGGGAGATGTTGTCTGCTACTATGGAAACCGAGGGCAACCTGAGCCTGTCGTCCTGACACCAGGTGAGTCTTCTCCAGCTCTTGGTGACAGGGTGGCATGCTGCTCCTACAGTGACACCCTTGGGAGCCTGGCTCCCTGCTGGTTTACTTTCCTGGAGCCGTACTTTTCAGCCATGTGTGTAACTTATTGCCTGTAACAGCCCGTGGCCTGGTTTGGCTGCAGCAGGGAAAGGCCCAGCGCCCTCAGTGGCTGCCTCCCTACCTTGCTTCTCTCCACTGCCCACACCATGGGCTCTTCCTGCAGAGGTGGGACATGGGTTCACTCTGGGCCCCACACCTTATACCCAGCAGCCCAGTTGGTGTCCCCCTTTCTTGTCTCCAGCTCTTCATGCAGCCCCACTCCATAGAGCCCGCCTCACCACGCAGCTCACTGGGTCCTCCTGGGCGCAACTTGGCCCCAGGATAACTCACTCCACCAGGAGTCCCCTGTGCCTGGGCTGTCCCTTCTTCAGGTTCTTGCCTCTGCCCCTCCTCTCTAGTTTCTGCCCACACCATTCCCGGGTGTCACACCCCCACTCCTGGCCCCATCTGCTCCAACCCAGCCCTCTCCCTAGTTCCAGGACAGACTATCTTCATGCAGACCCCACCCGACACAAGCACAGCCCCCTCCTCCTCCAGGTCCTGCCTGCACTCCTCTCTCCAAATCTGCAGGACCTCCCTGATATCTCGGGAACCAAGGACTCTGTCCTTACTTGTGTGCCTCTGCCAGGGTTGTACCCTTGCTGAGTATGCCTGCCCCCTTCTACTCTGATCACTCACATCTGGGCCAAGAGTGTCCCTTGCCCCATCAACACTGTGAGTCCCATCAGGGAGTCTGCATCCTGTGGTCCCAGATCTGATGCCATGACAGAGTTGGCCCTCCTAGGGAATAGCACAAATGGTATCCAGCACGGTACACCGAGTTATGAAACTGCCAAGACCATTTCACATGTACAACTCAGTGGTGTTTAGGATATTCACAGAGCGGTACAACCATCACCACTATCATTTTTAGAACATTTTCATCTCCCTAGAGAGAAACCGCATACCCTTTGGCTATCGCCTCCCCACAAAATACCAATCCCCCCAGCCCTAGGCAACCGCTAATCTATTATTTGTCTCTATGGGTTTGCCTATTCTGGATGTTTCATACATTGGGATCGTATAATCTATGATCTTTTGCGTCTGGCTTCTTTCACTTACCACAATGTTTTCAAGGATCGCCCGTGTTGTAGCACATACCAGCACTTCATTTCTTTTTATGACCAAGTAATATTCTGTGTATGGATAGACTGCCTTTTGTTTATCCGTTCATCAGTTGACGGACATTTGAGTTGTTTGTACTTTTTGGCCATTGTGAATAATGCTGCTATGAACTTCCACGTACAAATTTTTGTGTGGACATATACTTTCATTTTTCTTGGTTTGAAATTGCTGGGTCATATGGTGACTCTCTGTTTAACCTTTTGAGGAACTACCAGACTGTTTTCCAAAGCAACCACACCATTTATACATTCCTTCCAGCAATGCACAAGGGTTCCAACTTCTCCGCACCCACAACACTTGTCTGTCTTTTTGATTTTTAACCATCCTAGTGGGTGTGAAGTGATATCTCATTGTGGTTTTGATTTGTATTTTCCTGATGACTAATAATGTGGAGCATCTTCTGATGTGCTTATTGGCCATTTGGTATTTTCTTTGGAGAACTGTCTATTCAGATTCTTTGCTCATTTTCTAATTGAGTTGTATGATGATTAGTCTTATGTGTCAGTTTAGCTAGGCTGTAGTACCTAGTTGTTTTTTCAAATACTAATCTAGGTTGTTTCTGTGATGGTATTTTGTAGATATGGTTAACATCTACAGTCATTTGATTTTAAGAAACGGAGATTACTTTCGATATTGTGGGTGCGCCTTATCTAATCAGTTGAAGGCCTTAAGAACAAAAACTGAGGTTTCCTAAAGAAGAGGAAATTCTGCCTTAAGAGTGTAGCATAAAATCCTGCTGAGTTTTCAGCCTGCCAGTCTGTCCTACAGATTTCAGACTTGCCAGCCCCTACAATCGTGTGAGTGAATTCCTTATAATAAATCTCTTAATATTTATCTTGTTAGTTCTGTTTCTCTGGGGAACCCTGAGTGATATAGGTTTTTTCTCTTTTTATTATTGAGTTGTAAGAGTTCTTCACACATTCTAGATGTGTCCCTTATCAGATAAGTGATTTGCAAAAATTGTCTCCCATTCTGTGGACTGTCTCTTCACTTTCTTTATGATGTCTTTTACAGCATAAAAATTTTTAATTTTGATGATGATGCTCAGCTTACCTATTTTTTCTTTTGTTACTTCTGATTTTTGGTGTCACATCTAAGAAACCATTACCAAATCCAAGGTCACAAAGATTTACACTTATGATTTCTTCTAGGAGTTTTACTGGTTAGCTCTTACATTTAGGTGTTTGATCCATTTAGAGTTCATTTTTGTGTGTGGCGTGAGGTAGGGGTCCAGTTCATTCTTTACATGTGGAGTTCCAGTTGCCCAGCACCACTGTTGAATGATGTTCTGTGTTCCTCCTCAGAAAGGACTGAGACACCCTGGTCTGGTGGCTAGGCTGTGGGGGCTCGGCAGAGCCGAGGTGTCCTCCTGGGAAATGGCTAAAGTTATGTCCGACCTGGCTGAGGCCTTCACCTGAAAGTCTAACAGCAGCAGAGAGGGTGCATCTTGATATCCTCTGGGCCCATCATTCAGGACACACGACTCCGATGGTGACACAGGGCAGTGCTTTCTAGAGCAAACACTGTAGCTATAGCCTTTTGAAAAGAAACTCTGAGGGGCCACTCAGCAGACCCCTGTCCACCTCAAGTTCATTTTTCACTTTTCTGACAAGAGAAGCCCTTTTCTTTTTTGTTAGAACTTCTGTTAGCACCTGCGGGAACTTGGTCTGGAACATTTTCGCCCAGAGTCCTCCACTTGGCGATGAGGGGCTGGACTGTGACCCTGCTGAGGCCTTACCCACTCCCACTGGAAAGAGTTATCCCTGATGTTGGTCAGTTTCCGTAACTGCTGACCCTGGAATGATCCCAAGTGGTGGCTTCCTAGCCTTGGGTGTCTGATTCTTCCACCTTTGACCTTTTCAGCTTTTTGGGTACATAGATAGCTGGCAGTTTTTCCTGGCTTGGGGAGGGAGAAGGAAAGGCAGAAAAGGATGGATGGATGGATAGACAGACGGATGGATGGATGGACAGACGTATGTGGGAGTGAGATGCTGGGGCAAGGGAGGGGTTGGTCTCATATTTGGGCTCCTTCTGGAAGACCCCTCTCTGCTTTGCCTGGCTGAATTTCAGCTTGTGTGCTCCTTACTCATCTGTCCACCAAAGTCGTTTGGCGTTTTTTCCTTAGCCTTCTGAGGTCGTCCTGCTTGTTGGCTTCTCTGCTCCTACCTCATAGGCGAGTCAGAAATGTGTGGCAGGAGGTATAGGCAGTATGGGGGCTGACTCAGCCTCTGGCCTGGTCTGTGTCCACCGCTCCTGGTTGTGCCCCGGTGCTCCCCTGGCATGAGCTGGCTGAAAACACTGTGAGTAGGTTGCAGGCATTCGCCCTGAAATCAAGCAGCCTTGTGCTGGCCAGGCTGACCGCACTCTCTACAGGCATCTACGGGCTGAGCAACGCACTGTTGGACACGCCCTGGAGGAAGCTGAGCTTCGGGAAGCAGCTCTTCCAGGAGGTTGTGGAGCAGAGCCAGGCTCTGTCCAAGGACGCCCTCATTGCCCAGCTCCTTGACGTGCTTAACAACGAGGAAGCGTGAGTGGGCAGCTGGCCAGGACTGGGGCAGGCTCACGTGGGGCAGGCTCTGGGGCCTCTAAGAGCAGCAGTGGCTGAGCTGGAGGTGGCTCGGCAAGTGCTTGCTTCGTCAGGCTCCTGGCTGCCCTGACAGCGGTGTCCCAGAAAACTGAGCCAGAGATCCCTACCCCCTCACCTCAACCCCCACTGCCCCAGGAAGTGTGTGGTCGACCAAGGTCTGCTCTCTCAGAACTGCACCCCTTGCCCTGCCCTCGTATACCTCCTTATGCATTTGAGGTTTGTGACAGGGGCCTTCTTTGATGGAGAGAGGTGGGGCAGCTATGGGCTTGTCCACTGGGAAGCTCCAGGCTCTTGGAGGTTTGACACAGGCTCAAGTGGGGCTGAGAGTAGCTGGAGGTGCCTCTCTGCATGTAGAAGACTAGTGGGAGATTCCAGAAGGCTCCAGGTGCTTAGCAAACCCTGGGGAGAGGGACAAACCACAGAAACGACCAGCCACCTTTAGAACGTGTCTGGGGTTTAACTGTCTTTCCTATGTAGTGTCCCACCAGTGACCATGTAACACAGAGTCACATGACCATGACACCCTCGCCCAGGAAATTATGGAGTGGGGTGGGAGGAGCCTTCCCAGCCTCAGCTGCAGAGCTTCTGGTAGCCTCTGCAGGGGACACCCTTGTACTGGGCACCTGTCCTGGGGGTACTGCCCCTTGATGCATCTCAGGGCACCTCAGCCTTGGTTGTCCTAGCTAGGGGTCACAGTGCTTGCCCAAACTGGCAATGCTACCCCCCACATGCCCCTTTACCTTCCTTACCCTGGTCAGGCCACTGTTCTGCCTGGACCACCCAGCGTCCACACCCACCCCAAGCACACACTCCCTCCTTCTCTGGAAGCTGCCCTGACCCACCCCATCCCAGCCACACAGTCTGCCATAGGTCACTCAGCACTCAGTCACTATCTGTCTTTTTGGGTATTCTGTCAGCATGCGGGGGTGCCCAGGCTACATTTACTGACCGCTGTAGCTCTGATGCCAGCAAACAGGAGGGCTCAGGGAGCTCTGTCAACTGGACAGATGGCCCAATGTCCCTCTCAGGCAGACCCAGTGAGTGTGAGCTCACCTCTGCAGCAGGCCTACCCCGTCAGTGAGCTCCACACCCGGCAGCTCCTGCCTACCCACTCAGACCCCTGCAGAGGAACGTGAGCATGTTCCTGAAGGCTTGCTTCTGCCCTTCCCTGGAGATGGGTCCCCTGGCAATGCTCTGACTGGACCCCCAGCATCTCAGACCAGCAGAGCCTGTGGGAACGCTGAGCTCCTGGGTGCTCATGTACCCAAGGCTCTCGGTCCTGGAAAAGCCAGTTGTGCCAGCCTATGCCGGTAGACCTGGCAAGAGGAGCTGGCTGTCCAGTGGCTTGGATCCAATGATGGACTCGTAAGTGAAAGTGTGGACAGAGATTTGAGGCCTTGGGCAGGGAAGTGGTTTGAATGGCCCTTGGGGTTCCCCTCAGCTCACCTTCAGAAGCTAGGCAGCACCTTAGGAACTGAGAGGTAGTTCGTTACAGCCAAGGTAGCACTGCCCAGCCAGACAGCACTGTGGGCAGGGGCAGCTGAGGGGCTGGCTAATGGTGACCACTCCTCTGTCCTTCCAGACAACTGCCAGACCCGGCCATCGTGGACCAGGGCAAGGAGTATGTGCAGCCCATTCTGAGCAAGTACGCGGCTGTGTGTGTGCGCTGCCCAGACTATGGCACCAGGTATGGGTGGGCAGGGCTCTGGCCTTGCTCCGGCTCAGGCTTTGAGGGCAGCTACCCCACACCTCAGGCAAGGAAACCCAGGTTTCCTATGGTCCCATAGCTAGCCAGGGCAGAGGTCTTCCCCAAAAGGCTGGGCCCAGAGTCTCTGCCTTGCCTGGAAGCAGCTACCATTTCAGTTCGGGGGGCTGTGGTGGGCAAACCAACTCAACAGCGAACAGTCATGCACAGGATGCCTGTCGGCACACAGAGGCCTCAGAGGCCTAGGCATGAGGCCCCTGAGCCTCCATGGCCTCCTTGTATGAGGTTCCTGGGCTGCTCTTCCCCATGAGGAACCAGTGCCCAGCCATGCGGGGGCCAAGGTTGTACCAGGAATGCTTGTGTTGACAAATACCTGTGGTTTTGGAGCTGACATTGGGCAGCTCTTCTCACTTGCCCTGAGCCCTTGCATCTGGCACGTCCTCTGTATGACAAGGGCTAGAATTAGGTCAGCTCAGTCTGGGGAAGTTGCCTCAGCCCAGGAAAATGTGAGCCAGTGGCGTTGGCCACAGGGTGAGCATGTTCAGGAGGGGAAGCTGTCGTCACAGGTATCAGGTGTCCTGGTGGATGAGAGGGAGGAGGGTCTTCAGAGCAGATCACGGGCATACTCCCCCCTGCCCGCCCCCCGACCGTGTTATGTACTCGGTGGTGGCTGGAATATGTGGGGGAGGGTGGAAGCTGTTGGACCAGCCCAGGGCTGAGGGGAGGCAGGTGAGAACCACTGGTGGGGTGGGGGGCTCTGGTTTGAGGGGCCACAAACCGACAGTGGGAGCATGGCCTTGAGTTCCCCCTTAGTCCCCATTCCAGCTCTGGCCCTGCCAGCCCGTTGCAACCATCAACAGGGACAGGTAGTGCCTGGGGCAGGGAGAGGAGTCATCTGAGGGATATTTAACTCAGGGAGTGGTCAGCAGGCATTTGTGAGTGCCCACAAGAGGTTGGGCCTGGAACACATGGCCCAGGTTCAGTGCTTGCGACATGCTGGCCTTGTCTCCCACGGCTGTTCTTACTGAGAAGGGGTCACAACCAGAGGCCAGCCAGCAGGGTGGGCCTGAGGAGACTGTGGGCCTGGAGGCAGTTGGGGGAATGGTGGTTCTGACACCCCAGGTTGGGCGTCTTGCAGAAATATGTGTATGGTGTAGGTGGAGGGGGGAGGGCGCTGGCTAGGGTGGACGGGCCCAGTTGGGCACGGGTTTTTGCCAAGGACCCGGCACAACAGGAGGAACAGGCTGAGGCTTCTGAGGCCCACAGTCATGGTTCCTCTTGGACAGGACTTGGCTGGGTGCTGCTCACGTTCCTTGCGCTGCTCACCTGCAGCCGTGCACTCAAATCCTCAGATGGTGCTGCCCTGCCTGTGAGCACCGATGTTCTTGGCATGGGAAGAGGGCAGCCTCATGCAAGTGCAGCCCTGACTGGCCTCGGACCCCAAGTGTGTGCTTAGCGAGCTTCACGAGCCCATGTGTACAGGCACTCTCCTCCTGGGCCCCGCAGTGGGGATCCCGCAATCTAGTAGGGGCCCACAGCCAGTACACGTGGACAGTGACAGGTGCCAACCGGCGCCTCCATGATGTCACACGCACACTTGGTTTCCAGGTTCAGATGGGAGGATATTCAGTGTGCGGTGCCTGGCCCTTCTTGTCCCAGCAGGTGGGAGAGAGTGTGTGTCACCTGCCTCGCCGAAGGGGAGGAGGGTCACTCTCCCCAGGCTGCATGAGGGCAGGGTGTGCTGCCTGACAACAGGGTGCCATGTGGTAGGAGTCCAGCCTCCAGCTTGGCAACCTCAGGAGAGGAGGAGCAGCTTTGCAGGCAAGGGGACGGGGCCAGACAGACAGACGCAGGAAGGCCTGGTGACCTAGGTGGCTGTTAGGTCTACAGGCCACGGGCCCAGCCCTCCAGGCATGACAGTCTCCAGAGCCCACCAGCTGGGAATGGGGACAGCAGGCAATGCCAGGCACACTGCCTGGGTGGTGGCTAGACTAACTGCTGGCCCTTCCCATCCCCTTGGGGTATGGGGGCATGGTCTCCCTCCAGCCTATCATCCATCACAGGTTTCTTTCTGTTGCTAAATTATGTGTGCACATGGACCAGTGTGCATGAGGCAGCTCAACCTGTCTGCCCCCGCTGGGTGCATAGTGCTGGGATCTAACTGGACAGACCCTCAGTCTGCTCAGTGATGCTTCTATGCCCACCCCGTGTGTCAGTTTGTGCTGGGACAGCTCATGGAGCCACGGGCAGGGCCAAAGAGAAGGAGTTGCTGAGGGTTGGTGGGGCAGGGCCAATTTAGACGAGTGGTGGGGGAGGAAGACAGGCTGGACTTTCCTGGAATGGGGTAGGGAGGGCCCAGCCCCAAGTCGTGGGGTGTTTGACCTGTTTAAAGAACGGAATGCAGCCTGGGTGACCAGGACACAGCACTTGGCATGGGCAGTGCTGCCAGCGAGTCAGGAGGTAGACAGTGACTAGAGTATGATGCAGCCCCAGAGTGGAGGAACTGGGGCTTTGCTGTAGTGGCCAAGGAGCCCAGCAGTGTTCTGAGCAGGGAGGTGGCACTGTCAGCTCCCCAGTTGCCATGGGGAGAGCGGCGGCAGTCAGCTTATGCTGCTGAGGGAGGGTTTGGGCAGGCTGAGGGTGTTCCAAGGTGGAGGCATCGGGTTCAGAGAAGGGTGGGGCTTGGGATGGGACCCTGGCAGGCCTGTGAGGCTAGCTGGGGAGCCACAGGCCACACTGGAGGGGAGGGACAGTTGGAAGATCACTGGGCTCAGTGCCCAGATGTCCTCTGATGAGCCCCTCTACTTCCTTGAGGATAACCTGCCTTACCCCAGGGCTCGTGCCCAGCACAGGGGCCAAGGGTAGCCAGGGGAATGTAAGCCTATGCTCTGTTTCAGAACCAACACGGTCATCCTCGTGGACGCGGAAGGCCACGTGACCTTCACAGAGCGCAGCATGCTGGACAAGGACCCCACCTGCTGGGAGACCAGCACCTACGAGTTCAAGCTACAGAGCTAACCCCACCCCAGGCAGGGCAGGCCCAGACAGGACCCTCCACAAACACACTGCACTGCCCATGAGAGACTTGGGCATCGTCCCCAGGACCAGGGCCCTCTGATTTGTGTACTGCCTGTCTGTGTCACCATGCCCAACTTGGGAACTGCCCTTATGCCAAATGGGGAGTGACAGTGTCTGACACCCAGGTCTACGACAGGCACAGCTATGCTATGCATATATGAATGCGCCTGGGCCTGCCCCCAGGCACATGCTCATTCAGCCATACACACACACACGCACGCACGCACACACACACGCACACACACACGCACACACACGCACACACACAAGGCATACATGCACACACATCACATCCTCACAGATGACATGCACACGAGTACACACTCATGCATTCACATGCATGGGCACACACACACACGTGCCGATGAAGTGGAGCCATGCCTCTCATACCACACATGCTTTGATCAGTGGATATTTGCTTTAGTCAAGATGACAGGAGAAAACTTTTGTCTAAAGGTAGCCCTTCCTCCTGGGCATGCAGGACACATGCGTGACTCAATTTTTGACAACCAGACCTGCTCTGAGAGAGGAGACCTGGGCCATGTTTGGAGTGAGGCATCAGGAAGGAAGACCCAAGAAAAACCCACTCTCAACAACAGCACAGCCTGGTTGGGGGATCCCCCAGCCTTATGTGCTCTGGGTGGTCCTGTGTGTTCCAGGTGGTTCCGTGTGCTCTGGGCGGTCCTGTGTGTTCCTGCAGTTCCGTGTGCTCTGGACAGTCCCGTGTGTGCCCTTGCAGTGCCCAGGACACCCCTCCAGCCTCTCACTCAGGCGTCTTGTTGTTCAAGTCGGGGTTGTGTGTTCTGAGTCAGGCTTGTCTCACCAAGAGGACACATCCAGCCCGTGCCATTTCCCTTCTTGGAGAGCTGAACTTCACTGACATCTGAACTTCATCGGAACGGGTACCTGAATGCAAGATATTGATAATAAAACTTTGATTGAGGCTGTGCTGAGTACATGGATTTCAGAGTCCTTCACATGTGTGACTGGTAAAGCTGGAGCAATTTTGTGCAAGGGGACAGTTCTCCCATATGTGCCTTGTTGTCCTCCTGTCCTGGCAGCCCCAAGGGGTCTCCCTGCCTGTGGGAGCTCCTTCTGCAGGCACAGGTGCCCTGTCCAAGGCCCTGTCTACTTTCTCCTTGTGGCCTCCTGAGCACTGTGATGGAAGTCAGCAGGTCAGTCTGTCCATCTGCCCGTCTGTACTTGGTTAGAGGCTGAGTGCTAGAGAGCTCATGTGCATGGGGCATGGTAGGTGGCTGGTTACAAGGCAAGCCATCCTACCACCAGGGCCTCCTGTGCTTAGCTGAGGAGCCAGAGGTCTCTCCGAGTGGCATTGGGGGGGCCCCACGAGGATCCTCGGGAGGGAGGAATGTGGCCAGGCTTATATTCCCGGTGGACCAAGAGGTGAGAGGATGGAGGGAAGGGGGGGATTTGAGAGCCATAGGGCAAGTAAAGTCTGTGTCTCAGCCCCCCCGAATCCCTGGTTTTGGGTAGGCATTGGGGGCTCCCATACCAGCCCTGGCCAAGCATAAGGGGTCTCACGTTTCCAATGCTGAGCCCCAGACCCCCCTCCCTCTCAGCAGCAGTTGCCGAGTGGGCCTTCTTAGGCCATGAGCATGGGGTGGGGTGGGACCTGCACCCTTGGGTAAGAGGAATTGCTGGTCCATCTGGAGAGGAGGTGGGGGGTAGGCTTGTCTCCTCACCTTTCCCCCTTCAGGCCCTGATACCCTCCTTGGCTCACTTTTTTTTCTTTTAGATTAATGCATTTATTCCAAGTAATTAATACATTAAAAATAAAGTTAAAATTGTCCAAGCCAATGCATGAACTCTTTAATCTTTCTAACAAAATGTGCAACCCAAAACACCACACTATGATAGAAATAACTTGGAAAGGTGGAGAAGAAGGAGGCCTTGGGTGGCGCAGACAGTTAAGTACCTGACTACTAGCCAAAAGGCTGGTGGTTTGAACTCACCCAGAGGCACCTCAGAAGACAGGCCTGGTGATCTGCTTCCAAAAGGTCACATCCTTGAAAACTCCATGGAGCATTTCTGCTCTGTACACGTGGGGTACCCGTGAGTTGGAATCAACTTGATGGCAACTAACAACAAAGAGGAGGAGATACATATGGGTTTGTGGAACCAAGAACAAGTTTGATCCCAAGACAAATTTCAGATCTTCCACCTCTTCAGAACAGAAATGGCTGCTGAACAACAATTTAACATAAAGTGTTACTGGATCATAACACAATGAACAAGAGGCCATTTCAAAAGTAAAAGGAACTTGAAACGTGTATCTGCTCCTGTCATTGAGTCATGAAGGTGCCTTACTGATTAGCTGTCTTCCAAAAGTGACCCTACTAGATTCTCCTTCATGTTTATTGAGTCCCTTTCCAAATGAGTCTGTGGGTTAGTAGGACCATCTGAAGAAGGGCAGCAGTCAGAGACTCGTGGGGCCGACACGCCTCAGGTAAGTCAGCAGTAAACAAAAGAGCTACCCATCCTGCATGGTCAACCTTGGCTCCTTTTGAACTCAGAAGAAAAGTGTTTGATGCAGTCCAGCCCCTTCAGGCTGAGGGCCAACTGAAGCTCCAAGTCCCACAGTACATCTGGATGAGCCAGGCTCTGCCCACTACCCTCGCTACTGCACATCCATGGTTCTGCCCTTGGGGACCAGCCCAAGGGCACCAGTGTCCCACACAAGGATCAGCCCCTGGGCCAGCTGCCTCCTAGGTGGGTCAACCAGGCATTCATGTCTACCCTCATGGGCACTACTGGGCTGGGCTTAAAACCATTCTGAAGAGCCTTCCAGATGTTTGCCTCTGCCCAGCACATCAGGCCTGGGCACACAAATGAGGCCCTGTCACTGGCTCCTCTGTTCCCAGTTTGCCTCAGGGTTCTAGATGGCCTAGGCCCCCTGAGGAAGGGGCAGCGTAGGTTCTGTTGTGATCCTCACTTCACAGATGAGGAAACTGAGGCTTGAGGAGACAAAAGAAATGACTCTCAGTCATGGAGCAGCTGGGAGAGGCAGAGCCATGAGCTGGGATGGAGCAAGATGGAGGACGAGGTTGGCACCTGATGCCTGTGGGTCCGTGGTTCTTCCACGCCTGGGTCTTCCCGTGCTGCCTGGCTGGCTGCCTCCCACTACTGTGCTCTCCACATGGCAGCCCCCAGGGCCTTCACACACTGTTCCCTCTGCCTGAAGAACCTGTCTAGATACTCAGGCTGGCTCTCCCTCATTTCCTGCAGCTCTCTGATGAAATCTTAGACAGGCACACACTTAAAGTTGCAGGCTTCCCTGCCCTCACCATGCTTTGGTTTTCTATATAGCAGGCAGCACTACCTTACATGCTATACATTTTGATTGATTGTTTCTTGTGTGTCTCCCCATTCTAATGAGAGCTCCAGGAGGATAGGGACCTTTCTTCTTTTGCCCACCGTTACATCCCAGTGCCTAGGACAGGTCAACATTTGAACCAAGGGTGACAATGCTGATGCTTCCTAAGCCCCCATTTATTTAGGCCAGTCCCTTGCAGCAAAGCTCTTGTCCTATTAAAAGGGCACAAGGGCCCTAGGGAGCTGGATACTTTCTAGAAATGCTTTTGAGACACCACCTAGGGAGGCCTGGTCCTGAACTGTGGCCTGGCCTGGCCAGTCGTCTGTGCTCATTACCATCCGTGTCTGATCTGAGTCCCAAACATGGGTCCCCTTCTCCCAGTGGATAGGGAACTCACCCCTATCTCAGATGCCCCTTCCCAGATGAGCCACATCTCCTTTCTGGGCTCTGGGACAGCTGAGTTGAGGTGTGCGGACTGGAAGGCCCAAGGGGTGGAGGCTGACTGGCCAGGAGGCAGTGTGTGAGCAAACCCAGCCGGCCCAGGAATGCGGTGTGGCCTCAGGTCCCATCCTGGCAGGCCTGGGCTCTTTCTGCCTTCAGAGACCACCACCACCACCACCACCACCACGCCCCACCAAGTCCCTGTCTTTTGGCCTCTACCAGCAGATGGCATAATCCAGGCCCTTCAGCAGAGAGCTGGCTCATTGGTGAGCTGGGCTGACCTGAAAGCACAGGAGCCCCGAGAGGAAATGTTTCCTGCCCCAGACTGGACTGGAGTTCCAGCTTCTGGTTCAGTGAGTAATCTTTGTGACTTGAGACCAGGGCCAGACAGGGCTTGTGGCCAAGCGCCTGGGGCTAGAGCTCTTTGCCTGTCACCTAGTCTGCCCTGGTCTACATGGGAAACTGGCTGTAGTGTGCAGGACCAAGGTCTTGGGTCTAACTGGGAACAGTTGGGCCCCCAACTCACCAAACAACAAAGTGTAGAGAGGTCATTGTGGCTGGATGTTGGGCCCCCAACTCACCAAACAACAAAGTGTAGAGAGGTCATTGTGGCTGGATGTTGGGCCAAGTTCCTATGGGCTCTGACTGGTGCTGAGCTAAGGCCTGCAGCTGGCCCAGCCATAGGGAGGCTGGCATCCCCTGGCTGAGCCCAGGAGCCAAACCCTCATGGGGGGACGATACCTGCTATGAGGTGCTTGGTGCTGACCACTGGGACATCCAGGTGAACGGCAGGGGACAGAAAGGGAGGAAAGGGTCTGGGCAGGCCCTTGGGAGGCTTTAGCTTCATCATCTCCACCACCTCCTCTCTCCCCTTTTCTAACCTTTTTTGTTTTGAAATAATTTCAACTTACAAAAAAGTTGAAAAAATTGGAATTCCTGTATACTCTTCATCCAGTTTTCCCCAAGTGTTAACACATCACCTAGCCACAGTAAATGATCAGAAACCAGGAAATTAGCATCGACACAATACTTTTTTCTACAGACCTTATTTGAACTTTACCAATTGTCCCACTGATGTCCGTTTTCTGGGGACATTGCCCTCATTGCATTATTGCATTTAGTTGTCACATCTCCTTCAACCTAACGACTGTTCCTCAGTCTTTCTTTGAGTTGAACGATCTGAACACTTTTGGAAAGCACTGGCCAGTTATTTTGGATTTGTCTGACCTTCCTTCATTACATTCAGGTTTTGCCTTTCTGGCAGAAATTCTCATGTGATATTATGTCCTTGACAGGAGGCCCAGAATTTGTCCCTTTACTAGTGCTTTTTTTTTTTAATTTATGTTATGGATTGAATTGTATCGCCCCCGCTCCACCCCCCCAACCAAAAAAAAAAATTTTTGGAATCTAACCGCTATACTTATGGATATAATTCCATTTGGGAATAGGGTTTTCTTTGTTATGTTAATGAGGCCACATCAGTGTAGGGTGTGTCTTAAACCTAATCACTTTTGAAATATAAAAAAAGCAGATTAGGCACAGAGAACACATTGGGGAAAGATAGATGCCTCGTGTAGATTGCCGAGGAACTAAGCTCTGGGGCTAGAGAAGCTGAGATAGGATTTTCCCCCTACAGCAGACGGAAAGAGAGCCTTCCCCTAGAGCTGGTGCCTTAGATTTCAGATTTCTAGCCTCATAAACTGTGAGAAAATAAATTCCTGTTCCTTAAAGCCATCCACTTGTGGTATTTCTGTTACAGCAGCACTAGCAAACTAAGATGATCGTTGTTGTTCTTAGGTGCTGCTGAGTCGGTTCCAACTCATAGAGACCCCATGTACAACAGAACAAAACACTGTCCAGTCCTACACCATTCCCGAAACCACTGCCATGCTTGAGCCCATTGTTGCAGCCACTGCACCAATCCATCTCACTGGGGGTCCTCCTCTCTTTCTCTGACCCTCCACTTTACCAAGCATGATGTCCTTCTCCAGGAACTGGTCCTTCTTGATAACATGACCAAAGTACATGAGATGAGGTCTTGCCATTCTTGCTTTTAAGGAGCATTCTGGCTGCACTTCTTCCAAGACAGATTTGTTCGTTCTTTTGGCAGTCCATGGTATATTCAATATTCTTTGCCAACACTATAATTCAAAGGCATCAATTCTTCTTCAGTCTTCCTTATTCATTGTCCAGCTTTCACATGCATATAAGATGACTGAAAACACCATGGCTTGGGTCAGAGACCTTAGTCCTCAAAGTGACATCTTTGGTTTTTAACACTTTAAAGAGGTCTTTTGCAGCAGATTTGCCCACTACAATACATCCTTTGATTTCTTGACTGCTGCTTTCACGGGCGTTGATTGTGGACCCAAGTAAAATGAAATCCTTGACAACTTCGATCTTTTCTCTGTTTATTATGATGTTGCTTATTGGTCCAGTTGTGAGGATTTTTGTTTTCTTTATGTTGAGGTGTAATCCATACTGAAGGCTGTAGTCTTTGATCTT